AGATAAATATAACTGAAAACCGTTATTTCTTCTGTTATGAAAATAATCGGATATTCTCGATCTCGTGTAAGAAGCTCGTTAACCGAATAATATAGTAATGGTGTGAACCGATAGTTCGGTACTCGAATCATTAATTTATTGAAATGGTGTGGAAAGGTGGAGAGTGTCCCTTCTAAATACATCGTGGACTACTATATATTTACAACAAAGATTTATTGTAATTGTATAAAAAAAATTTACGTTTTACAGTTAACATTTTTCACTTGTTTTACTTTTTACCATGTGTATAGTATTCGCTGGTTCTAGGCTACTCTTGGATTTTTAAACAATGTTTTTATTTTTACATCACTCCAGTTTAAAATTGACTTTAGAGAAATTGACAAGAAGTAATAAATTTAATGCAGGCATAATTAATATAAAACAAATCATTGTAAGTAATAAATGTTATGTTATATTGTAACTGCAATATATAATTCTTTTATTCGTGTTTTCTGATACATTCAGTGTGCAGTAGAATGTACCCAGGATTTGTCCCCAAATTCTCCTTCTCTTGATAATATAAAAAACAGTGAAAAAATGCTTACTTTTCTAGTATATCGTCCCCTGGAGATATATTGTAAGTCATACAATTAGTTATACAGTTATCAAATAAACTTTTATTTCATTCAAGATTTTTAATTATATATCTTTAATGTATAATTAAAATAAACAGCAGCCAAAGTGACAATTAATAATACTAAAAAGAAGGGAGAAAATAAAAAATAGCAATTGTTTACTATAGAAGTGTTTTCAAAGAGCCTTTATACAAAACTTCGGTTTAATATTTTCAATTTTAAAAGTGTAAGACATTTATGACTTATAATTTTTATATTAAAAAATTTTTGATTATTAGTAAGCTTAATAAAAGTTTCATAGTAAATATGTGCGTTTAAGATAAAAAGCTTTACCATAATGGTAAACCCGTGAATTTCCCTTTTATCTTATCTTAAAAGCATTTTCTATTTCGTTAAGCAACTATTTTTCACTCTTTGTTTTGTAAGTAATGATGAAAACATTGAGATTAAAAAACAAAATTTAAGAAATAATAACTACAAATAATACTCGTAATAATCAAAATCGCTATATAAAGTTTTCTAAATTTCACTAACAATGCACTGAACTGTGTTGTTAAATAATTCAATCTAGTGTGCGGTATGCAGCGAACTTTTCATCTGAAGTCATACTGGAGAAGTGGCTGTGTTTAGTTAACATTTGTGTACTTTATTGTTATTAATTATTCGTAAAGCACAACCTGAAAACATCTAAGCATCTACGCATCTACGCATCCGTGTCAGTCAGTAAAAGCAGCAATTAAATCATCACTTAAAAACCAACCTGCTTACCTGAAAGACTCTTAAAATATTAAACAAATTAATAAAAATTCCAATATAATTTTTTATTGTTTTATTTCGTATTTATTTTAATTAGTTTAGTTGCGTTTATTAAAGATATATCTAATTCATTACTATTAATCATATATAATATGTAGGAATACTTTTGAAATGTAAATTCGAGTCTATTGTAGTTGCTATCAGATATAAAAATTCAAAAGAATTAAGTATTAATTTATAACATTTCAAATATTTAAATATTTTATTGAATGTAGAACTGATCATGGCTCCAAATAATAATGATATTATCTGCATATATGTATATATATGTACCGACCGGGTACCATAACGACGCAGAATATAGATTCAGGCAACTCTGACTCCATCGCCATCGCCTTATACCGTTGTTTTTTGAAGATGTCTACAACGGTCTTCTAACTCTCGTTTGTCTCCTACCTATCGACCCACTTGGGTTGATTACCAAGTTTTTCTAAAGGCACCGCGAAAAGGTGAGAGTAGAAATTTGAGCGGAAAAGGCTCAAATACTAACTGGTCACAGCATCTATGTTCTGCATAGAATATATTTACCATTAGGTCCACGTCGGTATGCTTACTGGTATGCTAACGAGAAACTCTGCCATAGGGCTGGTGCTTCAACGGTGTTGTGTTTTGATGAGGAACTAAGAAGGATTTGCTATAATGATAAGAAGGTTGAATTCATTAATTACTCTTTATATCGTTGTTCAAACCTACAAACGGAACATTTCATTGTTTATGAGACCTTTATCTAATCGAACAATCAGAGGTAGTAAATGTAGACTTATATGATCTTTCTAACTGTATCTGGAACACAAAATTGTTCAACAACAAAGATACATCATAATGAAAACAATGAGAAGACTAGCTTCCTCTCACTGTAAACTTAAACTAACTTAATTTAATATAACTTAAGGTAATTAATTTAACTTAATTTAAATTAACCTAATCCAGTTTGGATTCTATTACTCTTCTCCATGTAAGTAAACTGTAAACAGATCAATTGGAGATCGTTTTGTGATTCAAAGCGTTTAGACGATATAATTATTCTGTCAATTCTCAAGCAAAGTTATTATTTTGTATTTGACTACTCCATCTAATTGTGTTCTAAGTAACTCTATTTTTATAGCCAAATTTATTTTAAGACAAATACTTAAGATATTTTGAAACTAAAAAGTTCTGTGTTCACTTTGGACTCTAAATCCGTAGTCAACAATTTACGAAAGTGTGTGTATTTATCCAGATTGCAGCAGCGTTTTTTCATATTTTAAGTCCACAAAATATAATTAAGTTATTAAAGTCTTAATACAAGCACTTTGTACGAGATCGTTTGTACTTTATACTTACTATAAGTTGCTTATAAACAAAAAACGTAGTTTGTGTCATGTGTGTTTTTACTCTCTGTGTTCTGTTATTATGCTGTCGATATTTGTGATATATAATTTTAAGATTCTAACTTCTTTACTTGTAAATGTGAAGAAGAAAAATACGGGGCATGATAACTTCTATATATTGTTTTACTTTTATCCTTATTTAGTTTCAGACAAGCAACATGCTTCTGCTATTATTATGATTCAACATCCTCATTCCAATTACTTGGTAATATATCTCTCATATTTCTATATAGTAGATCCATATTGCTGTTGACAATCAATACTTTAGTTCTACTAGGTGTTATGACAATTATTTCGTAAAAGATTTTTATAGTTTCAGATCTGTACAGAGTAAGCACCGCACATTTGAAATTCGGTGTTTTCTGATTCGGTATAAGAGCACTATTTGTCCATTTTGTTGTCCACTTTGTTGTTAGAACGAGCTTTATACTATGTTCAGACACACCTTAATTTCGCAAAAATCTTAATTTCATCTTTGTTTCAGTGAAATTAAATTGTTTTTTTCGTTGAAACCTTAATTTTGTTGAAACGAAGGCTGAAATTAAGGGACTTTTCAAAAGCAACTATGTGCAAGATAAATTTTTAGCAAAAAATAAAATTTAGATAACGAAAATGTGATATTTTTTTAAATAGATGTCAATGATAGTTGATTTTAATAAAACTGGGAAATATTTTGAAAGTGGTGCAAAATTTTTAAATTTGTTTATAGAGAAAAAACTGCAACTGTTATTAAATTAAAATAGAGTGAAAAATAGTAATTCACATACCTGAAATCCACTAAAGCTAATAAAACTACTGAATGCCATCTTTTATAGTTATAATAATCAATTTTCAAAATTTCCCAGATAGAAATGGTGTTTAAAGCATGTAATTTTTAACATTCGATTTGTGAACATAAAACATATAATTTCCTTAATTTGTGGCAGTACCAAAACTTCCCAAATTTACTTCATTTCATTTTTACGAAATTAAGGAAATTTGGCAGTCTGAACATAATATAATCCTAGTAACATAAATTATTTCTACATATTGTTAATTCCTTATTATTTTTTGGTTGATTTTGTCGAAACTTGATACTTTCTTACAACCAACTTTGATTTGATTGTGCTAAGAATACCGTTGGTGGTGATGTGAGTATCAATAGTTTAAGCATAAAAATCATTTTGGGAAATATTACGATCCCAAGTGGCAGAGTTTGATTGAAAAATTAAATTTAAATGATGTGCAAAAACACTGTCTTTTTTATGACTGCATTATTAGTTTTCACTTAAATCTCTTATTTTTGCTTTAAAGTCTACGGGAGTATGAAGATCTTTACTAACTTTTTATAATGATACTCCTTTCTCTCCTTCAGCGGATACGATTTATATCAAATTGTTCTGATTGTACTTTACTGATGGTCTCTTTTGCTTTCTTTAATGCAAATCTTAGTTAGTTTTGGAAAACTAATTACCTCTTCCGCCTAAAACTGTATTTTACCAATGCTATTTGCTATTAAATTAATTTATTTATTTATGTATTTGAATTTATTAGTAAATGATTTGATCATATCATTTTAACGGATGACTGGAATTTTGCAACATATTTTCAGTGAACGTTCACAATAGACTGATTTTAAAATTTGGCTGCACTAAAACCCAAGATTTAAAAATGTTTGCGAGTAAAATCTTACTTTGAAGATACACATTGTTGTTTTTGTTGTTGTGTGAGCATACTGCACAGCAAATGTCCTGCTTGTAATTTGTTTGTCTGTAGTCCTTTTAAGCATATTAATTGTAGTACAAAAACCAAGAGTACATGTCGCGAATGTTGTTGGTTTTTAAATTTAGGTGCATTAAAAACTGTAAATTGTTGTGATATATTGATTTTAGTTATTATATATAACTTGTTGCTCCAACCCATGTCTTGTGAATAATATAATAAAAAATTACTACTTAATATAATCAAAATGTATGTAATAAAATAAATATTTAGAACTTTCAACTCTTAGCAAATTTTATTTCTTTCAATCATGCCTGATAGTTTATTGTGTTTTTGTATTGTCTTTTATTGTGAACAGCTGTTCAACTGTCAAAACCAAAACAAAACAAGAAAATTGTAAATTGGTGAAGAATTTTTCGCATTATTCTTAATTTTGCGTTGTTTAATAAATTAAAATTTTAAAGAAATTTATAAAGTTGAAACAGTGTGAGTAAAATCAAGAGTGAACACTTTTGTTTATTAAATGCTTTAATTTGAAAGCAAAAGGGAAACGAAAATATAATTAGATTATTTTGCATCGCGTAATGAAATTCAAAATTATTAAAGCATAAACATAATCGATTTTATTTTTCAGTAATTGCAATAAATCGACACAAAAAACTTGATTTTGTACAAGGTAATATAGCTTCCAGGGAGAATATATTCAAGTTCGTTCGTATGTACATGTTTTTAATATATCAGTCAAAATTGTATTTGGCTTGCAATTGTGGACGCAATCCTCTCCAGCTTCGCGGCGGGGCTGGTTTGGATATAACAATCGACAGCCGATTTTTCAGCGAAGACACCTGAGAGACGCCGCAACAAACTTTTACCATATATCAAATACTTTGACATCTAACTTACGTCTGGATTATCTAGCAACGTTTACTTCGAGCAGTTCAACAGAAAATAGTCCGAGTCATCAAAGCATAATGTCTTCCAATTCGGATGACGATGTAGGAGCTATTGTTGATTTTGTTGGATTACGCAGTTGCTTAGACGACAGCACAATAACAGAAGATCTTGACACGGCAGTCTCATTAGAAGAGAGTCCATTTTCCAGATATCGAATAGGACAATTTGCTCAAGGTGTAATTGATTTCAGTTCACAGTATGGCAGTGATTATAGCATTTCATATACTGCGCCAAATATAACTGGAAGACCAACTAAATACCCTCTTTATGGGGATTTTCCAGAAACATACGCAATGGTATATAAAAAAATAATCTAAGAGTTAAAAATTTACTTGCAATAAATAAAATTTCCTTATTTCTAGCGTGTTTATGGAGACTGGTGGGATAAAGCGCCTTCCGCTATGTTGGAAATACAACCTCAAAATATACCTAAAATTCCCGCTCAAGATTTTATCGGTAATATTTTTATTACAATATATGTTATTTATGTTTATATTTTAATTTAAGAAACATTTTTTAGTTGTCCACTTTGAAGATTATACGGTACCAGACAAAATTGTAATCTTTGAAACTTTTAACCCTGGCGCTATAATACGCATATGGGCATACACAATTATAAAAACATGGGTATGCCTATGGGAGGCTACTCAAAAAGCAAGTAACTCTTTACCTCATGAAGCACGCAGTTTTTTGCCAACAATAAAAAATATTGGATTACCTACCAGGTAATTATTACATATATAAACCATTTAAAATTATATTTTTTATTTTTGATACTGAAATTATTTGAAATATTTTTATTTTTTGATAATTAACAGAATCATAAGACTAGAATTCAATCACTCGGATTTAAATTACTTCACTGAAATTGATGGAATATTACTCTATGGGCAAAATGTTAGTATACGAAATCTGCATCAAATTGTTGACCAATACTACAATCGCGGAAAAAGCGGTAACATATATTAATTCTCTCTAAACATCAGTAATTCAAAATTATATAAAATTTAGGAACAATACTGAGTAAACTACAGAGCATACAATTTCGTCCAGACTTTAGGGATGACTATAAAAATCAATTACAAGATTTTATAAGCAAAGATTTAAACAAATTTGTTACGTCTTTACCAAATGATAATGAAATTACAATTGATAACACCAAAGCAGAGAAACAACTCGATTTAAATGATATGCCGGTATGCTCGAAACTAACATTTTTTTACTCTGCTTTAACTGAATAAATTATATTTTTAGTTCGAAATAATGCTTAAAGTATGCAGTTATCTTGATCTGCAGTCATTATTCCGTATGAGTTTGGTGTGCAAAACTTTATATGCTGTAACCACACATCCTCTACTTTATCGGGAACTTAATTTGAAGCCTTTCTGGCATTTGGGTTCCAATGAATTGCTTTGTACACTCGCAAAAAGGGCCACATTATTAAGGAAATTGGACTTATCTTGGTGTGGATTATATAATTCTATATCACCTACTGAATTCAAAAAGTAAGTTTAGTTTATTTTCGTAAATTTTGCATGCATTTTATTTTGAAACCATTTAAATATATATGTGTGTATACATTCATAAGTTTTCTTTACAAATCTTTTTTTTTTTCTTTCATATGATTTTTATATTTATTTAGCTTCACTTTACTATATAATAAATATAGTGAGTTTCATAATGTGGTTTGAAATGTAAAACCAGTGATATAACATGAATTTCTCTTAACACAAAACGGATAGATTCTATTTTATAATATTGTACTCAATTTTTAATAATTTTTATTTCTTATTGCATATAAGTAATGTTGTTTATAATTATCACATACTATTAATTTCTAAAAGCCAGTTATTATTATCACAATAATGACGCCCAATGGCGTCATGGCTAGTAGTGCCCTCTCTCCAAGATGCATTCGTCGATCTCTCCTTTCTTTTAACAATTCTATCGACACCTTTTGCAACGAATCTAACATCAGTGAGGTCGAATATAAACGTGGACTTACGGCGCTCCACACCGATGCAGTATCTTCTTCTAGACCTAGGTTATCTGACAACAAGGTTCTTAATAGGCCTCCGCCTGAAATCTCCTCGGATGAACGTGCAACAAGAACTGTCCTTGCTCAATTGAGATCAGGATATATCCGAGTGCAGTTACTTGTCTCGCATAAATACTTCCATCCACAATGTGTGCCCTAACTGCAGCTCTTCTCCCCATGACGTCGCCCATCTGTTTTCATGTCCTTCTGCACACACAAATCTTCGTCCAATTAACCTTTGGACTCACCCCATTGAAGTGGCCAGGTTTTTCCGCCTGGATCCAGGTTGATGGTTTATATATATCTCTTCTCTACTCTTCCTCATCCTTTCTCCCCCCTTCTCCTTCATTACCCACCTAACCTTTATCCTATTTCCCTACGCATGTAATCGTCGTGTGTTTCCTTTCATGTTTACCTGCTTACAGGTCCCGGCGGGTTACAACAACAACAACATCACAATTTTAAAAAAATAACTCTTTAAAAAATTTTAACTACAATTAAAGAGTCTGCGATTTTAATTCTCATTTGAATTTGTTAGTGTGGAAATTAAGATTAAAATAATTTACTTAAAATCTTCAACTAATTCAAATAAAATATTGTTACTT